CATATTGGAACTGCAAAGGTAATACAAATATTCACACAGATTGTCACATCACTCCTTCCAAAAATCAGAAGATTCACAATGTTTCGGATTTTATTGGACAGGTTTTATAACTGAATATCATTGTTAAAAGGTATGGACCCTTAAATATGTGTGCTGTCTCTAAACGTCTGAAATATGTGCCAGCTATAAAAGCTGTCCAGATACTATGCAAATTTTGGACAGTTCCTTTCCAGTTTTATTTTTTAAATCTAACAGCGTATGGTCAGCTCAGAAAGATATGTTTGGGAAATGTTGGTATGACATGGACAAGATCATAACAAAAACTTACCTGCTGTAGACAAAGCAATAAAAAGGGTGGCTACTGTATAACAGAATCTGGAAAACAAGAATTATGTGTCAGTTCCATAACCACGAAAAAGCACTAACCATAAATATTACTTAGCCTATAGCCTACATCTAACACAGCCTTTGTACTTTGAATTACTTTATTGAGCAGTGTTGATTAATAAAATGACGGAAATCATATGACCAATCAAATTTACCTGGAATTTACTGAGTTAATATGAACCTCTCTCTTTCTCTAAAATGTATACTTCACATTACTCAAGCGTAAATGTCAGAATTACCAAGTTATATAATTATCCTAAATGTTAAAATTTAAATAAAGGATCCCTCTCCAAAAGGTGAGGTAACATGTTCTCTAATTACTGCAGTATGAGCATTGGTTGGGATTTTACATATTTCCCCTCACTGCGCCCTGTGGAGTATGCAGTAATTATATGAAAAACTGCTGTAAAGATAACATGCAGTGTTTAACAGTGTCTTAATACAAACAAAATTATAATTTGTCCAAAGTAAACATTTTTTTTAAATGCAGTCCTCATGTATTTGAATCAAAGTGAAAAAAGTTCTTTTTTTCCCAGAAATCCCCAGTTAAATTACAGAACATTCCACTGCCAGCCACAAGATTTCACTACCATTGTTAAATTATCCAAATTTTGGTGCTCTCTTTGTGTTCTCTGTCCACCTTCAGAAAAATATGCTCAGCAGATATGAGGGACCTTGAATCATATTTTTATGATTCAAGGTCCCTCATATCTGCTGAGCATATTTTTCTTAATGTGCTCAAAATTCTCCATTTATCTCACACATTTAACCAAGACAGGGCTTCCACCTCCTTGTAACTCTAATCAGCATATCAGAAAGAAATTAAACAGCAAACGCATGGTATATTACCGCTTAATAAAACCAGCTCTATGGCTTGCAATAAAGCAATATCACCCCAGCAAGTGTGTCAGATATGAAATAAAACTGTATAAGCTCTGTGAATGGGGAACAGGCTACATATACCGCCTTAGAATTTATGAGGGAAAAGACAGTGAAATGGAGCCCCCTGGATGTCCAGACTACATGGGGAGCAATGACAAGTTAGTATAGGACTTGGCGTCACCCTTTTTCCCTAAGGAGTACCATTTGGACAATTTTTATACAGGTGTAGCCCTACCCTTGTGAGGGCCGCTGTGTTTCTAGGTACCCCAAAGCTCTGCACAGCCAGACAACACACATTTTCCATATTTGCATCCACAGTCAGTGAACAGTCTGTGAGCTTGGTTTTTGTTATTTTATTAGGAGAAATAACTTGGATAGGGTAATAGGGATTATGGGGTGGCCAATTTAACTGAATCAATGCACGGGCAGAACTCCTTTTCTATGTACAGAAACAGATCCTGGACTGTTCTTTCCCTTGAAAGCCATCAGTCTTTGCAGATCAGTAGCAACAGCCTCTATGAAATCAACTTAGCTTCTTGTAAACTACTTGTCTCCTCTCCTCTGTAGAACTGCTCCCAGCTCCACAGCCTGCAGATACTACCAACCATCCTGGCTTCTCTGAAGATCTCCCAGGACAAGCATATAGCATTAAGCACAGCGCTGTCCTTTGAAAGCTTGCTACACGTGGCAGTCTCTCCCCTTGTGAATCCAAGGGTGTGTTGATGTACTCACTCTGTCCTCCTTGCTCCCTCTGCTCTCAGGCCTTGATCCCACTCATGCCGTACTGCTGAATGGACCCTTCTGAGCCAGCCCAAGCTCAACCTGGAAGCCAGCCCCCTAGATCTATGGGACCCCTCCCAGGCCACCAACTGTCTCCTCAGCACTCCATCTTCCACCTGACTAAATGCCAGCCTGGCTATTCCATATTTATGGGCTGGTCCATCACTCTATCATGGTCTCCAACCCTGGAATTGGTTAGACTCCCATAAACATGCAGATTAGGTCTCCATCCCTTCCACCTACTAGTTTCTTGAAGGTTCTATGGTCCTCCAGAGCCAGGTGGAGGTGATAGCGTCCCGACCTCTTAAGCCATCCAGCTTGACCTGCAGTAACCCAACCTCAATCGCAGACTCACACAGTTACCATGAGTCATACACAATAAATTTACCTACAATACACTACACTAGTAGCACATTAGAGGGTGCTACACAAGTGTGCCACTTTTTAGATATTTGTTCAGTAAAGAAATTTGCTGCTGTGGCACCATGTAACCTAATCATCTAGGCTTCCCCCAACGACTCGTTAAAGTGGTAGTAAAATCATTTTTTAATCTTGTACCTACAGGTAAGCGTATAATAAGGCTTACCTGTAGGAAACTATTTCCTAAACGTGCACTATTTAGGGGATATTTACTTTAACAGCACCAGTGATGCCACTGGCGCATGCGTACTGCGCTCACAATGGACAGCATGGTGACAGACACAAGTTAGCTGATGCAGGTGCAGGAAGGAGAACCAAGGCAGGGTCCAATGGTGCAGGTCAGCAACTAGCGAGCAGATCAGGTACAGACAGCAGGCAGAGGAGTAGTCAGGAGTCAGGCCTGGGTCAGTAACAGTGAGACAAATGAGCAGATGAAGCAGGCAGTAGCATAGTCCACAGGCAAGCCATGGGTCAGTACAGGTGGTGTTCAGGCGGAGACAAGAGAAGATGAGGTTGGCAACAGAAGATCAATACAAAAACAGAAGCACAGATGCTCAAGGAACATAGTAGACCAAAAGGCACTGACACAGGGGACTAGAGCAGTTTTAATAGCCCATCTAGCACCAATTCTCCTGTATGCAGTCATGAACAGAGTCCCTTGGGTTCAGGCACCTATGCACATGTATGCGCCTTTCCTGACACACCATTTTTTGTTATTTTCCAAACCTTATTACAAAAAATAAAATCTTCCATGGACTCAACGTGCCTCTCAGCAAAGACCTTGAGGTGTCTAGTTTTCAAAAAGGGGTAATTTGGGGGGAGGGGGTGTGTTTTGTACTATTCTGGGATTTCAGGGCCTCCAAAACCTTGATAGGTAGTCAGGAAGTGAAATGAGTAAATTACACTCTTTGAAAGCCTAAAGGTGGTCATTGGTTTTGGGCCCCCATATGCAGCAAGACTCCCAAAAATTCTCACATATGTGCTAACCTCATACTCGGGAGAAATAGCAGAATGTGGTTTGGGGTGTAATTTTACATATACCCATGACATGTGTGAGAAATATCTCGTTAAAGTGACAACTTTGTTTGAAAAAGAGACTTTTTTTTTGTCGTTTTTCCAAAAACTTGTGGAAAAAAATAAAGTCTTCCATGGACTCAACATACCTCTCAGCAAATACCTTGGGGTATCTACATTTCAAACAGGGGTCATTTTGGGGGGAGGGGGTGTTTGTACTGCCCTGGCATTTTAGCACCTCAAAAATTGTGATAGGCACCCTATTGGACCTGTAGTATCTGTGTGGAAAATTTATTTTGTTTCTTCCTGGAGCAAAATTCAACCTCAATCTCCTCCTCCAGACATAGGACTGACAGTTTTTCAGTCCCATCACCTGCCTTAGGTTTCATATCATTCCCATAATATTTTTCCAATATAGTACAACATAGTATGCACATGTACAAACTGCATACTACATATTGAGTTCAATATGTATTAAAAGGATAAGTTCACCTTTCCACAAAAAATAATAAATGCACTTTTTTTCAGGTAACAAAAAATGTGCATTCATTATTTTTTGTGTTAGGAGCCTCTAAATCATTGCACCAGTGATCAGCAGATCGCTGATGCCATACAGTCTCCTGCAGACTGGCAATGTACCTGCTTGCTCATAAATCCAGTACTAGCAAGCCAATACTTCTGACAGGAAGAATCAATTAAATACCACAGCGCCGTAGTAGTTCACTGAGGACTACAAAATGATAGCCGCTAAGGATGTTGGGACTTGTAGTCCATTCATTCACAGAGGACAGGTGGCAGCTGCAGAATAGGGAACATGTTACATTTCCCACCCTAAAAATGGGTGGAACATGTAACATGTTCCCAAAGGTGAGCTTATCCTTTAAGTTTATTAAAGTGGTTGTAAACCATCACATGTACCCAGTGGAGTGACTAGCATTAATGATACACAGAGATGAAACAAATTTCTTCTGACAACACACAGAAGAAAGAGCAGGGTGTGAAGATCTGAAGTCTTCACACATCCAACAGCTCTAACTCTGAATGGAGGGAAGGGACGCACCCCGCTTCACACAGTACAGAGAACAAGCACAGCTGTGGCTAACAGTTACAGGCTGTGCTTCAGCTCCTTCTCTGTCACCATTTTAACTCTCTCATGAAAAGATGCCAGAACAGCAGGGAGAAATGACACTCAAAGCTTTGAAGAGAGAAAAGTACACAGTAAAGAAAGATGTGCTTTTTCATATTCTATGTCTTTAACCACTTGCCTACAGGGCACTTATACCACCTTCCTGCCCAGGCCAATTTTCAGCTTTCAGCGCTGTCACACTTTGAATGACAATTGTGTGGTCATGCAACACCGTACCCATATGATATTTTTATCATTTTTTTTTTCATCACACAAATAGATCTTTCTTTTGGTGGTATTTAATCACCACTGGGTTTTTTATTTTTTGCTAAACAAACCAAAAAACAACTGAAAATTTTGAAAAAATAACGTTTTTTTTTCTTAGTTTTTGTTATAAAAGTTTGTAAATAAGTGATTTTTCTCCTTCACTGATAACCGCTAATGAGGCTGCAGTGGTGGGCACTGATAGACTGCACTGATGGGCACTGATGAGGAGGCACTGGTAGGTGGTACTGATGGGCATTGCCAGACATCACTGATGGGCACTGAAAGGCAGCACTCATATATGGCACTGATAGGCAGCACTGATAGGTGGCTCTGATAGGCGGCACTGACTGGCACTGATAGGCGACACTGACTGGCACTGTTAGGCGGCACTGATAGGCAGCACTGACAGGCACTGATAGGCAGCACTGACTGGCACTGATAGGCAGCACTGACTGGCATTGATAGGTGGCACTGAAAGGCAGCGCAGATGGGCACTGATTATGTGGCATTGATGTGCACTGGTAGGCACTGATATGTGGCATTGATGTGCCACTGATGGGCGCTGACAGCTGGCATTGATGGACACTGACAGGTGGCACTGCTGGGGCTACACTGATCATCAGGGCACACTGATGATCAATGTACATGTCCCCTCTGAGGAATGCCGATTACCGGCTCTCCTCTCCTCACGAGCTGTCAGCGTAACAGCTCATGAGGAGAGAAATGCCGATAACCAGCATTTCCTTATTTACATGCGCTCAGCTGTGATTGGACACAGCTGATCACATGACCGTGCCGACATCTTCTGCTCTTTCCATTGATTGGTGATCCGCTGTGTCCGAGGGACACAGCGCACACACCGATCGCCGCGTGCACGGCTCCGGTGGTTAGAGTGGGAGGACGTCATATGACGTCCTCCCAGAACGAGAGAATCGCCTTGCGCCCGTCATTTCCGTATATGGTGGGCGGGGAGACGGTTAATGCAGTAAATATAACTCCCTAATCCTACTTTTTTATCCTTCTTCAGTTAAAGGATAAGTTCACCTTTAGGAGCATGCTACATGTTACACCCATATTTAAGGTGTCACATGCTCTTATACCATCAGCACTCTCTGCTCTGTAACAGCGGACAGGGGATTTTCTCCCCACACCCGCTGTCACAATTTGAAAACAGCGTGGCCATATGAGGCTCTGACCATCTGGCCACATCATTCATTCACAGTTGCCTGTGAATGAGTAGACTACAAGTACTTTCAGACATTGTGGCTGATAACTTGTAGTTCTCAATGAACTTAATAAAATTGTATGCGAGCGCAAAGATCAAGAAAGCAGCTGACATAAAAGGTGAAAACTCTTAACCTCCAAAACAAACCAATATATATAAATGCAGTACTAAAAAGTAACAATAAATAAATGATAAAAGACAATAATAAAAATGATAATAATACTAATGAAGTTAAATGAGGTGGGTGCTATGAAGCGCTAAAAGGTGTCAAATAGTGAGTCATCAAAAATGACATATCCAACTAATACAGTCAACTGATATAAAAGTGACTAAAGTGCGTTTTCTTATAACAAAGCAAACAAGTCCAGAAATAACGGTGATCTGTGCTGGTGATCTCTAGGACGTGGACCAGTAAAATGAATGCACTCACCAGAAGCGCAAAAGATATGCGCATATATATAAATATCCAAATGTGGTCATCTAGGTCTAGGCAAGGATGGCAGAATCGACTGGCACACCATAGGCACACAAGGCAACTCCAATCACTCACAGGACACTCTCTGCTTCCAGGGACAGCTCCAAGCAAGCGTCAGACCACCGGATCAGTATCATCAAGAATTGGGGTAATATCCACCTTAGAGGTTCCTTTGGTGGCCGGCACAACATCTAAGGAAGGTCTCATTCCATGTCGCTCATTTTTGTTATTCTGAAGAAAGAGATGGATGTTTGTCTGTGTCCATGTGCAAATGGACACAGACAAACATCCATCTCTTTCTTCAAAATAACAAAATATCTGGGTTTCACTCTAACCAAAAGTATGCGCACTGTGAGTAAGTCAAAGATCCAAGCCATTCTGGGTTTGCCCCGCCCAGTGACTAAGAAAGACATGCTTTCCTTTCTTGGTATGGTAAACTATTGCAGGCAATGGATACCTGACTGTTCACACTATGACAACATACTGAGGCAAAGTACTAAGGTCGAGGCACCCGACCAAATAAAATGGACCCAAGATTTAATAGATGCCTACAAAACCTTGAAGTCCTCTTTAGTTTCCTCTCCTGCATTGGGCTTGCCTTCTTACAAAGTTCCTTTTCATGTTTATGCAAGAGACAATTGTAAAACCATGGTGGTGGTAGTCGCCCAGGAACATGGGGGGGCCATGCACCCAGTAGCCTATTTTTCCAAAGTAGTCCATGTGCCGCTGCAAGGCATGCCGGCGTGTCTGAGAGCTTTGACGGTGTGTGTGTAATGGGAGTAGAGGCATCTATGGCTATTACATTGGGACATAATACAGTGTTACATACCACACATCATGTACTACAAATTCTGAAGAATCTTATTACACAACACATGACAGCTCAAAGAGCCAGTGGGTATGAGGTTATTCTCACTTCCACTGTTAATTTATCTATTAAATACTCCTCTCCAAGTTCAGGACCAATTGCTGTTTTAAACGGCATGCTTTGTTTGAAGTCAATGTAAAATAAGGTGCAGCGCTAGAACTCCAACCATAAATGTGAAAACTCCATACGTTAAATATATCAATAATCATATAAATATATAAATAAGTAAAGTGAATTGTGACAAGGTGCCAAATAAATCATTCAAATTAAAGTGACTCAGTGGTAATGTGAAGTCCGTCACTGTATAGTGATCGATGGTGCTTTAAAGTGTTGACATATTGTCCCATTATAAGTGTATGGAAGATCTGATAAACTTCAATAATAGGTGTTCCATCTGGTATTGTGGTGATGTGACCAATGGTATAAAGACTGCGCACTCACCAGATGCGCAATCAGTGAGCGCATTTAGAGACAATACTCTCAGTAGATCAACTGGAGGCCCCTTTACGGATGGATATGGTCTGGTCAGGTATTCCCCTCTCTGCTCACTCCACTGTCAATATGGCTCTATCACTCCTTTCATGTAGCTCATGAGCAGAAATCAAAGATGGCCGCCGGGACCCACGTGCTGCCGGGGCGTGATGTCACAACGCTGTATCTCCTCCCTGACGCTTTTCATGCTATTGCACATAATCATAGGGGGTGTGCTTCAGTGTCAGACATCTAGCAGCGTGTTTATATAGCAAAAATGGGCATGCGCATTACATGCGTGCCATTTTGTCGAAGGTCCACGTCTCCATATCGGGTGCCATTTTGTTATAGATCTTTATGTTTCAATATTTTTATTGAGTTTTTCAAGGATAAACAGGGAAAAAACAGGGAAAAACAGGGAAAAGAGATAAGGTTCAGTCATACATTACAGTAGACAAATATGGTTAATGATTTTGTTGTCGATCAGCCCTCTGGAACGATGGGGTGTTGATCTTGTTTAGCAATATCATCAGAGGTATTTGTGGGTATTTGAAGAACCTTGGTGAGGAGTTTGGGGAATTAAGGGATGTGGGATGTTAGCGGAGAGGTGGGGGAGGGTATGATTGGGGAGGGAGGAATACAACTGAGGAATTGAGGAGATACCAGTCTTGGTGTGGAGTGTGAATTCATTTCTTGAGATGTCATCAGGGTTGTATATAACATTTTGGGTGGTTTAGCCATCGGGTCCACTGGATATTGAATTTGTGGTAGGAGGAAGTATTGATTGCGGATAGTTTTTCCATTTGGCATTGAGTGTTAAGGTATGTAATTAATGATGAGATTGAGGGGGTATTATTGGTGTTCCATAATCTAGTAATATTAATTTTAGCGGCAAAGAGTATGTGGGTAATAATTGTTCGGGAGCGTGGATGGAGTTTCTCGGTTCCGATGTGTAAGAGTGCTAATGAGGGGTTCGGCACTAACGGAATTTTGTTTATTTCAGAGATTAATTGGAATGTAGTATTCCAGAAGGAGCGAAGTGATTTGCATGACCACAAAATGTGGATTGTTGAGCTGGGCTCACCACAGAGTCTCCAGCATGTAGGGGACTGTTTTGGGTAGTAGATGGAAAGTTTAAACCGGGGTCAGGTACCATTGGTGGAGTATTTTTAGATAAGACTCCCAGTGGGAGCTACATCTGGTAGCTTTATAAGTGATGCTGAAGGTATTTTCCCAACATTTTAAAGTTATTTGGGCTGAAAGGATTTTTTCCCAATTGGTTAGGGAGGTTGTTTGTAGAGTAAATTGAGAGTTTATGAGGAGTGTATAGAAGGTGGATATACCTTTACCCGGGTATTGGGGTTTGGTGAAGAAGATGTAGGCTGCAGTTGGTATTATAGTATTGCGGGGTAAGTTAGTTGTTAGTAGACAATGAGCGATTCTGAGGTATGTAAAATTTTCAGTAGTAGGAATATTGTATTTGGATTGAAGAGTTTGGAATGGGTGTAAGGATTGATTGGTGTAGAGGTCTTTTATGTTGGTTATCCCCTTGTTTTGTCCATTGAGATAGATCTAGTGAGGGAATGAGGAGATATAGTATATTGGTTGTGGTAGGTACAGTATATGTTTAATGTCTTTGAATTTAGTGGAAAGAAGGTCCCTCCAAGCTTGTAGGGAGGCTACAATGCAGGGATGATTTAGTTGGGGTTGTATACGTTTGGACGGTGGGGTCAAGAGTATATTTTGAGGTTTTAAGTGGTTGAAAAGGGAGGGTTTCCATTATGGACCAAATTTTTTCCCTTGAAGGATTCCACCAGAAGTATAATTGGTCTAAGAGGGTAACTGTGTAATAGGATTTGAGGTGTGGGAATCCAGCTCCTCCTTTGTTGTAGGTCTAATGAGAAGATTGGTGGTACATCTCGGTTTTTTCAAGTTCCATATGAATTTTGTGAGAATTGTTTGTAGTTTAGAGAAGAATGAATTAGGAACTGGTAAGGGGGAGTGTGCGGAATATATACAAGATTTTGGGTAAAATATATACATTTTTAGGGTCGCCACGCGGCCTAGTTTGGAGAGTTCTGAGGTGCGTAGAGTTTTCAGTTCTCAGGGTATAGTTTCAAGCAATATTTTGTGGTTTGCTGTGTATAGATGGTCTGTCGCTGGTGTAAGTCTGATTCCTAGGTAAGGAATGATGTTTGTTTCCCATGAAAATGGGAATTGTTTGGTTAGTTGGGTTTGAAGTTGGGTGGAGATGTGAAGGTTAAGTATGGAAGATTTGGGTTCATTAAGTTTGTAGTATGAAACTGCTGAGTAAGTGAATAGGTGTGAGCGGATCGTTTGGAGGGATTTTTTAGGGTTGGTCACCATTAGTATTATATCGTCCGCAAATAGGCTGATTTTGTGTTCCATGCTAAGGTGTGTAATTCCTGTAAATGTTCTGTCCTTT